TTTCATGTAGATAACAAATTCAGGCAAAATAAGTGAAAAAAGCTAAATATCGAAGGTTTAATTTTCGTATACAAAAGGCGAGTACATCGTTACCATTACCGTTACCATTACTATTATCATTACCATTACCAATACCAACACCAATACCAACACCGTTACCGTTACCATTATCATTGTTATTATCATTACGATATCAATACCGATATAGATACCGATACAAATACTGATAATACTCGTACCAATATCAATCATTACCATTACAACTACCGTCACCATTATCATTATCATTACCTACCATTGCTAATACTAATATAGTAATACTAATACTAATCTGATAATAATATTATTACTATTAGTAATCCTAATGCAAATCTTAATCATAACGTTAATGCTAATCATAATCCTAGTACTGCACCCAATCATTATTCTAATCAAAATTGTAATCATAATCCTATATACTAATATTAAAGTTAATCTTAATTCTAATACTAATTGTAATTATAATTATAATCATAATCCTAATAATACGAATCATAATTCTAATCCTTATAGAAATGCAAATATATATGCTATTGTTAATACTAATTTTAATACTATATTCTTAATATGCTAATGCTAATGGTAATGTTAATCCTAATTCTCATCATAATTCTAATTATAATGCTAGTAATATTAATATTCAAAATGCTAATATATCGCAATACTAATATTCATACTAATATGCTAATAATAATGCTAATGCTCATCATAATACTAAACTAATACTTATATGCTAATGCTAATGCTAATCATAATATACTAATGCTAATGATAATCGTAATTCTAATTCTACTGTTATTGCTAGTACTAATGTTAGTCCTAAACTAATGCTACTAATCCTAGTCCTAATGGTAGTGCTAATATTAATCATAATCCTAATCTTACGCATAATCATAATGTTAATTCAAATGCTAATGCTAATGCTAATGCTAATTATAATTCTAATGTCAGTGCTAATTCTAATAATAATAATCATAATCCCAATCCTAATCATAATCATAATAATAATCATAATCGTAATCCAATCCAAATCCTAATAGAAATAATCATAATACTTACTAATTCAAATAATAATACTAATGTTAATACTCATGGCCGTTCCTGAGAATTCAGGGGCCCTAGGCGAGATTTAAAAAACAACTTTAAAACGGGGCCCCTATTAGACAAATCAATTTTATTAAATGGTGTTCAAAATTAAATATACTAAAAACATATAAATAATATTTTCTAAAAATGATGAAATAAAGATTACGGGGGTTCGAGGGCAGTGCCCCCGAAACATTTTTTGAAATGTATGAACATAAAATAACTTCAAATATGGAAAATATATCAAAATTAACAGGATAATTTGCTGGTTCACTTTCTCCCGCAACGTATAATCTTTATAGCAAATAAACTTCATAAATACTTATAAAACTTAAATAGATTAATGAATAATGATTCTTACTTTAGGTATAATAATAAATAATTAAGACATTATAAATTTAATATTTAGGGGGCCCAAGGTTAAGAAAATAGAAAAAATATCTATTAATCATTTATATAAAATTTATTTTAGAGTTGATGTTCCAAAATATTATATATAATAAATTTTAAAAATAAGTATTCATATATAAAGTGTACGACATAATTTGGGGGCCCTAAATTTTCTTAAAAATTCGGGGGCCATAGGCGACCGCCTACTTCGCCTCCCCCAAAACCGGCCCTGTCAATACTAATACTAATACTAATAGTAACACTAATACTAATACTAATATCAATACTAATACTAATACTAATACTAATACTAATACTAATACTAATACTAATACTAATACTAATACTAATGCTAATGCTAATGCTAATACTAATACTAATACTAATACTAATACTAATACTAATACTAATATTAATACTATAGTCATATTAAAACTAATACTAATGCTAATACTAAACTAATACTAATCCTAATATATTAATGCTAATCCTAATATATTAATGCGAATTCTAATGTTATTATTAATATTAATGCTACTCCTAATTATAATACTAATGTTAATACCAATCTTAATGCTAATGCTAATACGAAACTAATCTTAATCCTAAGACTAAATATAATCCTAATATTAATACTAATTCTAATCCTTATCATAATCATAATCCTAATACTAATTCTAAAATGGTAATGCTAATACTAATGGTAATGCTAATGTTGATGATAATATTGATGTTGATGCTAATGCTAATGCTAATGTTAATACTAATGGTAATGCTAATGATAATCTTAATACTCATGTGAATGCTAATACTAATATTAATGTTAATCGTAACATTAACTAAAATCAGACATATTTATTCCATAATTAATTAATATTTCCTTTTAATGGTGCACAAAAAATAATTAGGAGTACAAAAAATCCGTTTACTCCAATTAAAACATGTCTCTATGAAGTAATATATGGAAAAGGAACTGATGACATGTTTACTTTATAATTTATTTCCATCATAAATTGCCGTATATCCATTCTTTTTAAATCTAGTAGTTAGTAATATTAACAAAATAGATATTTTATAAATAATTTATCAATATTTAAATGGGTTTAGGTTAGTTAAAATAATTAAAATCGCTGAACACATCTAATTCACTAAACAATTACTTATTGTAAATTTTCGTTTATCCATTTTTAAAATTATTTGTTTAGTGATAATAACAAAATAGATATTTTAAATGTAATTTATATATTTGTGGTTTTATGTTATTCAGAGAAATTAATATCGTTCAAACATAATTCACTGAACAATAACTTAAAATTTTAAAATAATTATTTCACTATGAAATAAATAAACAATTATTACTTTTCCAGTATGAAATGTCATTTAATCATTTAAAAAAATATTTTATCTAGTTGTGGTAACAACATGGGTATTTCAAAAATTATTTACCAAAATTTGAATGGGTTTATTTTAGTTTAGGCAACTAAAATTGTTAAAAACGCAAAATTCATAGAACTATAACTTACAATAAAAAATATTATTTTCCCATTATAAAATATCGTTACCATTTTCTTAAACGTTGTTTCTAGCAATGCGAACAGTATAAATATTTTAAAAATTATTTATCCCTACTTAAATAAGTTTTAGATTTTGTCAAGACAATGAAAATAATACAACACACATATATAATTCACCAAACAATAATTAAAAATATTACCCTGTTTTTACTTTTCTATTTAGTTGCAATAAGAAAAATAATATTCTAAAACTACTTATCCCAGTTTAAGTGAAATTAGATTTATCAAAACAATTAAAATAGTACTACACATAGTTCACTAAACACAATTAAAAAGTAATATATATATATATATATATATATATATATATATATAT